ATTTGTTACATTTTCTATAATATCTTGAGTTAGAGGCTACTTTATTTTTTCAAATTTTCTTTTCTAACATATACATTTAAAGTTATGAATTTTCCTCTAAGCATACTTTAACTATACTCTCACAAGGGTTGACTTCATTTTCCTTTTTTATGTAGTTCAAATCTAAACATGTCAGTTGTGTAATTTCTTAATTGATTTTAATGTGCTATTTAGAAATAAGTTTTTAAATTTTCAAGAATTTTGAGATTTTTTTTTTTTTTTATGGGGCTGGAGAGATGGCTCAGTGGTTAAGAGCACTGGCTGCTCTTGCAGAGGACCCAGGTTCAAACCCCAGGACCCACATGTGGCTAACAACCATCTGTAACTCCAGTTCTAGGGGCTCCTGTGCCCTCTCTGTCCTCCACAAGCACTGCACAACACGGGTGCACTTATATATATATACAGGCATAACACTCACAAAAAATAATAAAAATAATTTTTAAAAATTTTATCATTCTTTTGTTAAGTTCTAGTTTAATTATAATGTATTTTATGTCTAAGAATATGGTTAATTATGGTAATTGCTTTTGTATACTTGAAAAAACTGAATTTTGCAGTAGTTGGCTGTGATTTTTCTTTATTAATCTGGTCACTTAAGCTGATGGAGTTCTTCAAGTTTTCTACATTCTTACTGGTATTTTTCCTCTGCTTATCTTGAGAATGTCAGAGGATGTTAAAAAATATTATTCTGTGTAGATTTCCCATTTTGTTTTATAAATTGTGTATATTTTAAGGAGCACAAAAGTTTTGAATTGTTGTCGTCCTGCTGAATTCATCACTTAACTCATGAAAAATCTTCCATTTTTCTCATACTACTTCCTTCCTTAAATATCCTTGAAGAAATACATTTTTTTGTAAATTTTTTATTCAATTTTTATATATTTCATACTGAACATCTTAGTCATCTTTATACCACCTTCTCCGTTGGCCCTTCTCAGAGCCCCCCCCCCCCGGAATTCATACATTCTATCATTTGTGTTGAGGTCTGTTGTGTCAAGTTAGTATCTCCAGATGTCCCTTAGTTCAAGTTCATCCACTAAGGTCTAGTCAGCCTCTCTAGATCAGCTCTTTCTCACCCAGCAGTTTGACACTGATATAGTTATATTAGCCATCTTTATCGTTTCCCTTGTAAATTTCCTACTTATTTATATTTAAAGTATGCCTATTATAAACAGTATGTAATGTGTCTGTTATTATCTAGCTTAACACTTCTCATTTATAGTATTAAGACCATTTACTTTCAACATGATTGCTCATATGGTTGGGTTCAGTCTCATGGTGCTGTTGCTGCTGCCGCTGTTCATTTCCATTGGTTGCTTGTGTCTTCTTCATTTGATGTTGTATAATACGTGGCCCCAGGTTTCTTCACTGATATCCTACATTCTGGCTTTTACAAAATATTTCATTTATTTATTTACTTAATTTTATGTGTATGGGTGTGTTACCTGCATATATGTAAATGTACCTGTGTTGTGTAATGCCCATGGAGATCAGAAGAGAGTGTCAGATCCCCTGGAACTGGAGTTATGGATGGTTCTTAGTCACCATGTGGGTGCTGAGAATTGAACCTGGGTCCTTTACAAGAGCAGCTTGGGCTCGTAACCACTGAGCCCCCCAATACACTGCATTTCTAATAGCATCACAGCAGTCCTGATATTTCAAAACCTACTGATGCATTGGCTAAAATTTCATTCTCCCAATAATTCTGTTATTACAGGCAATGCAGCACTGAGCAGCTTGTATCCATCACATTCCCTTTTATGTATTATTTCATTAGGGCATTTTTCCAAGCGAAGAATTATTGGTCAGGGTAGAAACAGCTTTATAATTCTTGATACATTTTGTAACTTTACCTTCCCTAAAGAATGATTTCAATTCAGAAAGTTATTAGCAGTATGTAGTAGTAATGATTTCATTGCAATCTTGCTAGGATTGCGATTTATCTTGTTAATTAAAAATTGTATCCAGCACTTGGGAGGCAGAGGCAGGCAGATCTCTGTCAGTTTGAGGCCAGCCTGGTCTCCACAGCAAATTCAGGCCAGCTGGGGCTACAGGGAGATGGTCTCAAAAAGACCAATATATATATATATATATATAGAAAAAAACTAAACAGACACAAGAATTATGATTACCAGTGTCATTGCTGTGTGAAAATAAACAGGAAAAAAAAGAAAGTTGTTCATGAATGAGCTCATTTCAGTATGAGCTGGGCTAAATTTCCAAATTGATCTGCTTTGTGCTTTGCACACACGGGAACCTTGGCAACAGCCCATTGTGAGCAACCCAAAGCATATATATCATGTAATATGTGAAGTGGCTGTGCTGGTTAGTTTTGGCCAATGTGATGCAAACCTAGACATATCTGGGAAGAGGGAATCTCATTTGAGGAATTTCCTCCATCAGATATGGCTATGTCTGTGAGGCATTTTCTTATTGTTAATTGATGTAGGAAAGCCCAGCCCACTGTGTGCAGTGTCAGCTTTATGCAGGTGGACCTGGGCAGGACATGGGTGCACTTATGTACATTCAGGCAATACACCCATACACATAAAGTTTTAAAAAAATAATAAATACTATACATATTTAAAAAACAGAAAGTATAGTGGGCCATACGTCAGAAAGGTAGCTGAGTAAATCACGGGAAGCAAGCCAGTAAGCACTGTTCTCCGTCTCTCCTTCAGTTCCTGCCTCCAAGTTCCTGCTTTGAATTCCTGCCCTGACTTCTCTCAGGGATGAATTGTAAATTGGGAGTTATAAGATGAAATAAACCCTTTCCTCCCCTGCTTGTTTTTGGTTATGGTGTTTATCATAGTAACAGAAAGCAAACCAGAATGTTGGCATATGTATTTTATTTACATCTAATAAAACTCACAGAATTCACAAACAAAATCAAAGCTTATAGACACAGAAGGAGTGTAGGAAGAGGAGGAGGAGATGTTGGAAATATTCATGAAAGCAGGATGACTGCATGTTTCCAAATTAAATTCAGACTTTTTTGTTAATAATCTCAAAGTAGAGTGACTGTGTTAGTAAAGAATACACCCCGCTTTGTGAGTATTGCTGAGTAACAGTGAGAGGAACTCTTCAAATTGTCCTTACTTTACAGAGCATTTAAGCAGACATTGTCTTATCCAAGCCCAAGAGCCTTGCAAGGTTTGCCTTCCTCACTGTTTTGCAGAAGACTGCACTGGAAATTTTTGGAAGTGAACCAGTTACCTGGGGTCACATTGCTGATAATAAGCTGAGCCATGGCTCAAACTTATGTCTTGTTCCTTGAACTTGTGGCCTTTCTACTCTGTTTAAAGATCACTTTCAACAACTGTTATTATTCATCAACCACTGAGTTATTAGGAAAAGTTAATGAAAGAGACCGTACCGAAGATGAAAACTTTTCCTAGGAATTAAGCCAAGAGATTTGTTATATGATGCCATAATCTAAGATGGCATAAAACCAAGAGGTTCCATCATTAGAAATGCTACAAAACACAGGAAAAACTTATTTTCTTGTTATTAAATCTCTATGATCTGGACATGGGAGGTCAGAATAACTGGAAAAAAGAGCAAAACAAAAAAACCACAGCCCAACTGAAAGTAATTATATAGTAAATATGCCATTCATTTATTAACCTGTTAACAAACTTTCCATTTCTGTACAGAACACCCGAGGAAAACAAATTGTGGTTAGGAAGGCTCATCTTGCCTCCCGATTGCAGAGGTTTTGTCCATTGATGGCTGGCTCCATTGCCTTTAAGTCTGTGACAAGGCAGAAACGTGGTGAAGGGGCATGGTGGAACAAAGCTGCTTATCTCAAGACAACCAGGAAGAAGAAAGGATGAGATACAGATAGAAAGAGAGTACAGAGAAAGAGAGAGGGAGAGAGAGGAGGAAGGTGAGGAAGGAGGAGGAGGAAGAAAAAGAGAGGAGTTTGGAAAAATTTACCCCTTGCTGTTCAATGGCATGCCCCTCACTGACACACTTCCTCCAACTAGATCCCTTCTCTTGAGTCCATTCAGCTGTGACTTCATCAGTGGAATAATCAGTTGATGAGGTTAGTACCCTCATGGTTCAGTCTCCTCTCAATAAGGCCACTAACCAAGAACAAAGCTGTCAACCTGAACCTTCTCGGGGGAACATTTCACATTCAAACCATAGCAATCATCATCCCTCAGGTATTTCAAGTACAGTAAAAGTTTAGTTTCTGAATTTTATAAAACAGTGCTGTGACTCCTCATTTGTAGATGTTAGAAATCACAAATTTGCTTGAAATAACCAGTGCTATTCCCCCCCTAAAACAAATCTCAATCCACTGAGACTGTGACAAATATTAACTAATCTATTATTACAGGTATGAATAGCTCAGCATGTTTTTCTGAGAGTAAGTGAATGGAAGCTGTAGTTTGGGAGCCTTTCTTGTAAACAGATAAGCCATTAACTTACACCATGTTGTTGTAGAAAACAACACATTTATTCATACTTCCAATCATTTTAGTTGTTATAAAACCAATCTGAATAAATATAGATATAGGTGTGGGCCATATCTATCATAATCTTATCATTTTTCTTCAATAAATTCATATTGACAGTTTTTCATGTGCCTAAAAAAAAATCTATCTCAAAACATGAGGCATTTTACAGAAGTCTGAGGCTGTTTTTAGAAATCCACAGAAACAAATCAGTGCTCCTTAGTCCTCCTATGCAATGTTTAGTAGGCAGAGCCCCATGGGACAGGAGGAGGAGTCCTGCAGGGCCATGGGAGGAGGAGTCCTCCAGGGGGTGGAAGAGCCCTGCTTTTCCTTTCTTACTGTATCAAATGTAAGCTGTAGTCAACCAGAGTTTGCTCACTGATGCCAATTTTTTCTCTCAACCAACACCCCTGCATTCTTAACTCAGATCATTTGAAGTAAAATAGTGTGTTTATGTGAATGCTAAAAAAAATAAACTATGCTTCATTTATTGTCTAGGAGGTGTTTGGCTATCATACTCAGAATCTACGGAGAGCCCTGTGCCTTGTCACAGCCGTGCTGACAGTCGGGGCTCTTCAGCTGGCGTTCTACTGGAGGCCTGAGTGGAGGGTCTGGGCCAACTGCATCCCATGCTCATTGCAGGACGCAGACACGGTTTTGCTGAGGACAACAGTGCGTAACCTTTTGTTACCCGTTTCAGATAGCACAGTGGTCACAGAAAGATAGATACTACATAATCCCACTTACATGTGGAAGCTATAAAGTCCACATTGCAGAATAGTGATCACCAGAGTCTGGGAAGGTTGTGGGGAACGAGAGTGAGGGTCAGAACAAGCACGGTTACTGGGTACAATGCTGTAGCTGAACAGGGAGAATCCCAGCTAATGTCCTATAGCATAAGCCTGTAACGTGACTGACAACGAATAACTGGCTACTTCAATATAGCTAGTAGAGAGGGATTTGAATGTTTGCAGTAGAAATAAAAGATAAATTTCTGAAGCAGTTGATAGATCAGTTACCCTGGTTTGGATATACACTGTATGCATGTACTGAAATGTCACACAGTGCCCCATTCATAAACATGAACAAACGTCTATTCACCCCATACCAGCCATGGGCACCAACAACAGACCAAAGAAATTATTCCAAGCAAGTCTAGTTTAGCGAACCAGTAGGTTTATTGGGGTTACTTACAGGAGTGTAGGTGTGTTAAAAGCAGCAAAATCACTGAAAGGTCCACCAGCTATGGCTTATGAAAGCTGCATTCTCTGAGTTCCTGCCTTGACTTGTAAGCAGAAAGTCTCCTCTCTCCCGTCACTGCTTACATAACCTTGTAAATTTTGTAAGTTTCAGGAAGTTCTTCAGACTTATTTCCCAAGCAAGATCTGTTTGCATCTTGAGTCTTAAACAACCTCTCTCCAGGGGGAAATGTTTCAACGTAGAGAAAATGCCTATATAATACCCATAAATACATACAATTACTATATATCTTAATGCAAATTCAAATAGCTTTTAAAGAAAATAAATGCATTATCATGGATCATGGCTTCTATAATGTATCTGTGGTCTAATAATGACTCCAGAGGAAGATCTTCCTCCATTTAGAGTTTACCTAGGTCAGAATAAGAAAAGAAAAAAACTACCTCTGCAGTGTGCATCATGTCTCTTGTTGAGTCCTTCACTTCAGCCTGGGGAAGTTTCTAGAATTTCTGTCCAATGTGCAGTACTTCTTGCCATTACATGGGTAGTGGCTATCAGTGATAACACCTTTCAGAGACCGCAACATGGGAATGAACATTCACTCATTTTTCAAAAACTTTGAAGTATACCAGACTATGTAAGCTTCTAGATGTCAAAAATAATACATCCAGGTGTGGTGGTATACATCTGTAATCCCAGCACTTGGGGGGCTGAGGCAGGATGACCAAGAGTTGGAGGCCAGTCTCAAGAGAGAGCCTGTCTCAAAAACTGAAATAAAATAAAAAAGAAATACTATTATCTAGGAATATTTTTTAGACATAACACTTACCTGTATTTTTCTCCATGCTCTAGTCCAGTGTTTCCCAAATCTTTATTTATGGCAGATGTCTCTAGAAGATTCACTGAAACCACCACTGGTCCCACCACTGAGTTTCTGACTCAGTGAGGTCTGAACTGGGATCAAGAACTTGCATTTTGAATGAGGTCTGAAATATTGCCCTTGTTTGTTGCTTTCCAAGGATAAATTTGGAAGATATATGAGGAAAAAGGTGCTCTGCCTCTACTTGTCCACACTGAAGCTTCCTATAAGCAAGAACCCAGCAAAACCTCTGGTGGCTGACCGCCACTCTGTCATAAACCAAGCTGTTATGAAGCCAGAGTTAAAAGTAAGTGGTCTTAAGTGTGCAATGATATAGCAAGTCTACAGAGAAAAAAATGTAGTATGTGCTTTCTGGTGAACATTCTGAATGTAACACACTTAAGCTGGAATGACAGCTGGGTGTCGAAAAAGTGAAAATCACATGGGGGACCTGTGTGGAACAGAGTCTCCTTGATGGGCTGTGCTCTGTGAATGATTCCTGTTCCATCATTACGTCATTACAGCTTCGATGCATCCAAGTGCAGAAAATCCGGTACGTCTGGGATTTTTTTGAGAAGCGGTTTCAGAAAGTTGGGTAAGTATGGCCTTTCCTTACCCCCGAATCAGGACATAGCGGGAGAGCACTGGCCTGAGTGCTATGAGCTGACGTGTGGTTCCTGTCCCAACCACATCCTAGGTTGCTAGAAGACAGTAACTCCTGCTACGACATCCATCATACATTCGGATTGGGTCTGACCACTGAGGAACAAGAGGTCAGGTAGGATTTCTAAAGCTTTCTGAGAATAACCCAGTTGGCAGAGTCATCAAGTATCAAACGGACCCTCATCAGTGTACTGCTGGCATGGTGCTCTGCTGGCTTGATGATAGTTACTGGTTTCAGAAAGATATTTTAAATTCTCTTAAGTAAACTTAATAAAAAGAAGGCTAAATGAGCAAAGCGATCAAGTAAAATGTGACCTTGTCTCTCAGGCTTGTGGAATTGGCATCATTATATTGTCTTTTCTTTTTTCCTTTCCTCAAAATATCACATCATTCCACAAACATCACCTTCTTAATCCGCCAAGTCACCCAAGAATCAGAAAGAATCAGATTGTACTTTGCTGTGAACAAACTCCCCTGGAGGTGAGCATTCCACTGTTCACTTGACTGTATTGGTTACCATTGCATATTCCACACCTAGAACAACCATGGACTCATGATAGAGGCCCAACAGACATTTTCAGAAGAAATGAAGAAATGAATCTATCCATTGATTTATTGACTGGGTATCTCTAATATGCCAGGTACTTTGCAAGGAACCAGTGGTCTAAAGAGAAAGACATAGTCATGGACTAGAGAGAGTGAAAATAGTGAGGGGAAAATCATGAGGCTGATGTCTGTAGACACACAGAGATTAGGAGATACACAGTTTCCTAACACAGAAGGAAGACAACTTTGCTTCCTTCAACTATTATTTGAAATGGCCAATTCTGGTGCACCCTGAAGGAAATCATTGGGTTTCCCCCAGAATCTTAATACTCTCTTTCCTATCTCAGACATGTTTAGGGACAGTACTTACATGACATTCTTTGCAATAAAGTACAAACTTCAAATCTCAAACTAAAAAGAAATGTGGTGCTTAAAATATTGCTTTTGAGTTCTATTTGAGTTGTTCTAATAATTCCGTAGCAGTAAGAGAGGTCTTAAGAGACAAGGAACACTATTTTTAGCTAGTTCCCTCCCACCATTCCTTTTTCCATTTTTCCATTTTTATTTATTTTGTGTGCATGTGTGTGGTGGTATGTGAGCACTACCACAAGTATGTAAAGGCCAGAGGACAACTTTGGGGAGTCAGTTTTCTCACTCTACCATGTGGGCCTTGGGAACTGAACTCAGGTCACCAGTCTTGGCTGCTGGTGCCATCTCATCAGCCCTTCCGCACCATCATAATTCTTTTACATTTTTATTCCTTTTTTTTTTTTATGTGTATTGCCTACATGTGTGTAAGTGCACCTGTGCCTTGCAATGCCTGCAGAGGTCAGAAGAGGTTGTCAGATCCCCTGGAACTGGAGTTACAGATGGTTTTTAATTGCCATATGGGTGCTGAGGCTCAAACCTGGGTCCTTTGCAAGAGCAGCCAGTGCTCTTAACTGCTGAGGCATCTCTCTAGCTTTCACCATTATAATTCCTATGCAAACCAACCTAAGGATTACTGATTTGTTTCGTTTTTTTTTTTTTTTTTGTCGTTGGGACACTGTGAGAAATGAAGCAGACATTTAGACCAGGACAATACTACAAAATGCTTTAGAAAGAGATGGCATCATTACATACAATTTCAGATGATAAGGGGGTTGTAAAAAAAATAATCACTTTGGGGTTTGCAAGATGGCTTAGACGTTAAAAGCACTGGCTGCTCTTGCAGAAGACCCATGTTCAATTCACAGCATCATTACGAACAATTTCAGATGATAAGGGGTTGTAAAAAAAATAGTCACTTTGGGGCTGGAGAGATGGCTTAGATGTTAAGAGCACTGGCTGTTCTTGCAGAGGACCCAGGTTCAATTCCTAGCACCACATGGCGGTTAAAAAACATCTGTAACCAGTTCCAGGGGATCTGACACCCTTTTCTGACCTCTGCAGGCACTGTACAACATGGGTACACTTACACACTTGCAGGCATACACATAAATTTTTTGCTGGAGAGGTGGCTCAGCAGTTAAGAGCACTAACTGCTCTTGCAGAGGACCTGGGTTCGAGTCCCAGCACCCACACGGCAGCTATGAACCGTCCTTAACTCCAGTTCCAGGGGAATCCGAAGCCCTCTTCAGACCTCCGTGGCACTGCATGACACAGATGCCCCCCCATACATGCAGGCAATACACTCATACACATAAAATAAAAATAATTTTAAAAAATCACTTTATACAATATCATAGCTTTAGAAGTCATGTCTATTTTCTTTAAGAAGATTATACCGCTCAACACTGTTGGTGCAATAGAATAGGTTAGCAGGAGAAGTGCGGCAGTGAACTTGTCTTTGATCAAGAAGTTCCAGTCCAAGCGTTAATGTGCTTGCTGTGGAGTCAGCACTTCTTTTACTACGGCTCTTCGCTCCTTGTCGCACTACCCAAGGATTGGTTCAGCCTTTAAACTTCCTCAACAAGTCCAAGATCCACTGATTTCCTCTCAAAAGGCACTAGCCCATCAGGTAGTCCAGCAATTTTATTGTCATGAATACTCTAGCTATAAAGAAACCTTCTTCTCATTTTTTTAGAGATGACATTTCTGGACTTTAGACATTAATGTAAATCAGGAAGTAAGATCCAGTGTGCTGAGAAATCTGGACAGCTGGTCCACTCCTCCAGTGGTGCTCTGCCTTTAAATGGTGTGTGTGTGTGTGTGTGTGTGTGTGTGTGTGTGTGTGTGCGCATGTGTGTTTGTATGTGTGTGTGGTGTGGTGTGTGTGTGGTGTGTGTGTGTATGTGTGTGTGTTACTCTGGTATTCAGATATATATGCAAGGCTGTTTCCTGGATAATATGATGTATGAAAGGGGCAGAAATAAATAATTTTTCTAATTAAAAAAAGATTTCAGATGACTGTTTCATGCATTGAAATAACAAAAAGTTTTCAAAGTCATTAAAACTAAAATTACTTAATAGTACTAAGCACAAGATGTTTAAAGGATTGATCTAGATCATTTAAGAAATTTCATTGATAGATGTAGACATGTTCTACCTAAAAACTCATTTCCACAGGAAAGATTTCCCATCACTGTAGCTAGTTCACATTTGTCCTTATTTATCAAGTACCAAGCAGTAATAAACATCATACATAATTAAATTTAAATCTGGTCTACGCGATGAAGACTTGACAATCTAATAAGCAAGACAGAGTATCCCAAATATGAAAAATAGAGAGCATAATCTTCTAGGCACAGGCATATTTTGTTTTACAGGCATGTTTAAGTGAAGGGTGAACAGAGGGTAAGAAGAATGAGAAGCGTTTCCCCTTCATTTCTTAGAGTAAGACAGGAGCCTTTAATGAAAAATTAAATGTGACTGATTGACTGGGAGGACAGCATACCAATTTTGCCTACATGAATTTGAGTTTGCTTCCAGTAGAAGGAGGAAGGAGGGCTGTGAAAGCCTCTTACACTAAATGCACAGTTCTCTACAGGTGGGCTTCCTAGCAGCCAGGCAAAAGGGAAAATGGAAAAGTGTCCATAGTTCTTATTTTTCAGTAGCAAAAGCTTATCAGGAGAACTGATTTTTATCCTGGAGAGAAATTTCCAGAAGGTATCAGAAAATTGTCTCAGGGAGTTGCTCATTCCAATCCTCACCTGTCATGAACTGAATTTAACTCTGCATCTCCATACCCATCTTGGATGGGTTCATAGACACTTGAAGTGATTCATTTCACAAGAAAGAGGTCCTGTGAAAACACCAAATCTCCCTGATCTCCACTAGATTAGTTTTTTTTTTTTTTTCTGGACAGGGCTAAGGATGAATACCGCTTTGCCTTCTGTTTTCATTCAGCCCACCCTGCTCTTGAACCTTTGTTTAGACTCCTGAAAGCAAAAATGCAACTTCCTGGCAACAGACAGTTAAGCCCTACCCGGGATTAACTCCTGCAAATCACCTTGCTGGTGACTCTGGAAGAGATAAAAACCTTGATGTGCAGCAATTGTCAGTTTCTATGGCAGGAATGCTTCTGTCACATCCAATCTATGCCATTAATGTGACATCACCACATGAAAAGTTGGGAAGAGCCACAGCTGGCTCAGTGATTCTTCAGGGCCAAACTCAGTTCATGACCTTTTTTATCCCTCTGCGGAAAAATAGGCAGGCTTGCTAGGGACCGAGGAAAGAAATCTGAGTGATGGGTAGCCAGAGGGTTATGTTCGACACCAGTACAAGCTCCACCTAGCAGAAGCTGTTTCATGATACGATGGAGCATTTAAAAGGGAAAAAAGAATCTCTCAAAACATGCGAATATTAGTTTTTAATGGGATCTATCTAGGACCATCCCATTTATTGTCCTTTACTACTACATCTAAATCCCAGGAGCTGGATACTATAGAGTGCATCTGTGAATGTCTTAGGCCTCCCTCCCTTGTAGAGCAGGAGGTTTTTAAAAATATATTATATTTATCAATCATTATTTTTTAGTTTTATTTGTATGAATACATGTATGTAAGTGTACCCTTTTCATGCAATGCCCACAGAGGTCAGATGATGGCATGGTATGCCCCTGGAACTGGAGTTACTGATGGTTGTCAGTTGCCATGTGGGTGATGGGAATCAAACCCAGGTCCTCTATAGGAGCAGCCAATGCTCTTAACCCCTGAACCATCTCTCCAGCCCTATGAAGTAGGAGTTTTAAGGAAATGTGGGACTGCTTAGTGTAATCATGCAGGAACTTTTTCCCAAACTTTACTATTTGCTTTCTAAAACTCCCAGAGTCCTGGAAGTGAGTCCTGTGAGAATCTCCTGCTTAGCTTTGACTATTTGGAAAGCATACCTATCCCTCAGTGACCTGCCAGTCAGAGCTGCTTTTAGAAGCTTATCAAAATGGAAACAATGAGAAAAAAGCATAGTGGTTGTGAGATGCTTAAAAAGTGCACTGGTGAGAAAGCCGGGTATGTGGTGCTCGCCTTTAATCCCAGCACTGGGAGGCAGAGGCAGGAGGATCTCGGAGAGGGAGGGCAGCCTGGTCTACATGGTGAGTTCCGGGCCAGCTGTGACTACAGGGAGACCCTGATTCAAAAGACAAAATAGGAAAAACTAAGTGAATTGAAAAGGGAAACGGACCACTCCCAAAAGAATATACTTATAACACTCACACTTGGTTTTCAGAATTCATATATTCCAGAAGATCCAAATATCTCAAAATTGGAAGAAACCACGGTGGAGCCAGAAGTATAACTCTTAATGCACGTGGGAATTCCACAAGTTTTCAGTTGTAAACTTGTTTGAGTTCCTCTGACAAGGGTCTGTTCACCACCTGTCCTAGTTTGTTTCTCAGTTGCTGTGACAAAATACCCTGACCAGGGGCTGGAGAGATAGCACAGCGGTTAAGAACACTGACTGTTCTTGCAGAAGACCTGGGTTTGATCCCAGCACCCACGTGGCAGCTAACAATTGTCTGTAACTCCAGTTCCAGGGAATCAGACAGTCTCTTCTGTCCTGCGCGGGCATTGCAGGACACAGTGCACTTACCTACATGTAGGCAATGCACACATACACTAAAAATAATAAATAAAATATTTTTTAAAAATACTCTGACCAGTACCAACTTGGGGAGGAAAGGGTTTATTTGTCTTATGTATCCCAGGCCACAGTTCATCAGGGAGCCCAAGGTAAGAACTCAGAACAGGAACCTGGAGGCAGGAGCTGGAGCGCAGGGCATGGAGGAATGCTGCTTACTGGCTTGCTCTCCTGCCCCCTGCTCAGCCTGCTTTCTTATGCAACACAGGCCCACCTGCCCAGGGGTGGCACCACCCACAGTGGGCTGGACCCTCCCACATCACTCATCAAGAAGATGCCCCTCAGACATGGCCACAGTCCAATAGAGGCAATTCCCCAATTGAGGCTCCCTCAACCCAGGTGTGTCAAGTTGACACTAAAGCTATCCAGCACACCACCACAGCAACTCTCCCCATAATGGATAGTTATAAATGTTAAGAAAATCATTTAATTGTTCTTGCCCTACATTATTTGAAAAGGCTGCTTGGGACGGTCTAACACTTATTTCTTTGCTGTCTCATCAGCTCTTTAGTAATAGAATGTAGTCTTAAACCTTTCCTTCTGTGCTCTGGCTTTAAGCCTCAACTTCCCTCTGGCTACTCAGCCACTTGTCAGTATTCCCAAGAATTCTCCTTGGCTTGCATTTAGATTGGGATGGGCACCTAATCTCTAAACAAACTATAGTTTATTTTGGCAAAAGACAATGAACATGACAAAACAGCATAGGGTGAGCCAGCTGTGATTTAACCACAGCCAGGATGAGCCCTAAGAGCATCCTTCACAGGCAAGACTGGGTCCACTCTGTCCCATCCCTCCACTGCTCCAGGACATGACTCTTCTCTTAATGGTAATCTCAGAGACCATCTCACCAAACAGGGAGAGACCTAGACGCTGGACCCCCAGCTTGCCCTCTAAATTGGTTTTCTGTGGTCTGTGTCATCTTAGTTATACATTGGGGGTTTGGGCCTTGCCAGGGGAGAAAGTATTCTAGACATGGGTCACAGTGATTTTTATTACTTAATTCCAATATTTTGGGAACATGCCCTTCGTCTAGTCCCTTTTGAAAAAGCTCCCTTCCTGACTTTAAAAAAAGAAGCTATGGAATTTGAGGAGAAAAAATGTGTAAATAAATGCTCTAATTGAATGACGGAAGTGCTCTTACTAAAAAAGTGTTGCTGAAGGAGAGAAAGTTTGATTTCAAAGACAGTTGCCATTTTCTGGGAACTTGTAATGTCCTTTGCATACCTGTGATATTTACTTTACAAATTCATCTCAGTATGACACTGATCACAATTTTATTAGGCATATCTATCAAAGTCATTTTCCAGATGAGGGAACCAAGGCTCAACCCCCATTCAGTTGTTCATTCATAATGCTATATTTGATGTATTAAACCCTATTTTAGGACTCCTGGATTTATTAATACCCTCTAGAAGGTTATACTATAATGGAAGATACAGTCAATTAACACATAAGAAATAAGGTGTGGGCTGAAGAGATAGCTCAGTTGGTAAAGTGCTTGCCTTGGAAGCACGGGGACCTGGATGTGATCTTTAGAACCCACATAAAAAATGCTAAGAATGGTGGCATGTACTTGAAATCCTAGCACAGAGGAGGTGAAGACAGATGGGGCCCCGAGGTTCACCCTGAGCCAATCTAATCCACATGGTTCCATGTTTGTAAGAGACAATGTCTCAAAACATGTGAACAGCACCTGAGGAAGGACACCAGAGGATTTTCTATGGCCTACATATACACGTGGACGTGCACATACACCCCAATACACATGCACGTACCCAAACACACAAATAAGGTATAAATTCAAGTAATCATATGTGTTCTGAAGAAAAATATGGTTGGTTGAGGATATAAAGAATCTGAGCTGAAAGAGAGGGAAGTTTTGTTTTGTTTTCCCGTGCTGGGGAGCAAACCTGGAGTCTTGCACATGTTAGGCAAGTAATCTACCCTAAGCCACATTCCCAGGCTGGGGATGGCTATTTTAAATAGAGTTGTTAGGGGAGGCCTCAACAAAGAGGTACTTCTTTGAGATCCAAATGGAGCAAGACAGGAAACCCTGCAAAGATGCAAGGAACCTGGGCCAGGTAGACGGAACAAGGCCAAAGGCTTAGCTGGATGCAAAGCTAGTTCTGTTGGCTCACAGTTCTTAACCACTCAGCTTAGTTGTCAGATTTGGCTCTCTAAGGCTGAATAGGCATCTACAAAGTAAAGACTGTGGCAAGAGTACTCCATGTAGATAAGAAGATTTAGTTCTGAGTCCTGAGACAATTGGCTAACGGGTTATTGCCAATGACTATGACTCAACATGGCTTGAATTGCTGTCTTTTGAGGTCCCCATGTAAGGTTTAGGGTCTCATGAAGTCATCTAGCAGCATGGCTACTCTTCCTCACTGCCTCTTCACACCCCCAAGCCTCAGTGTTTCCACACAGTATAGAGGTGGAAGATGTTAGTATGTGAGTATCTCTATCCCTTACAAGCAATAATTGGAGTTGGGGTAGTGTGGTTTAAGTGTCATAAACTGGGTCTGGAGAGATGACTCAGCATTTAAGAGCACTGGCTGCTCTTGCAGAGGACCTGGGTTTGGTTCCTAGCATCTACATGACAGCTAACAACTGTCTTTAACTCTAGTTCTGGGGATCTGACACCCTCTTCTGGCCTCTGTGGGCATTGCATGACATGGGTGCACTTACATACATTCAGGCAAAACACTCACACATATAAAATAAAAACAAATAATAAAAATGTCATAAACTGAGCCAGGCATGGTAGTAATTCCAGCACTTGGGAGGCATAGACAGAGGCAGAGGCAGAGGCAGATCTCTGTAAGATGAAGGCCAATCTGGTCTGCAGAGCAAGTTCTGGTCTAGCTGGGACTATAGGATGACCCTGTCAAAACAAACAAACAAACAAACAAAAAACAAAAAAACTAAATAAGAATCATCAACTTGGGCTCATCAACTGTAGTTGATATTACTGAGACCAATGCTCTCCCTGCTGGTACCTGTCAAGGCAGAGCTGTGAAGTAACATCAGGCTGTGGTTGGAAGGTTGGCCCTGAGAAACTGGGACAATCCCTTAATTTATCCAAACTTTAGTTTTCTTTATAAGCAGTGATAAAATAAAACATTTGTTAACATGATGCTCAAAAGCTATACTGTCATGATTAATATCAGTTATGTGAATCTTTGGCAGACCCAGAGCAAGCAGTTTTTCCTTTTGGCAATATAAGGATATTAGCCTTCTAAAGTGTCGCCTAAAGTCAGGATCAAATCAATCTTTTGAAAGAACCCTAAGAATTATAAAATACAATACAAACATAAGGGCTTCTTTTGCTAATAAACATGTATATTGTACCTTGTATGTGAAGCATACATTTATAAGTGAAGAGCATAGATTATATTCCTGTGAATTTGTTCTTTCACTGGTACATTGATTGGGTTCATACACAAAGGCCCTGTCCTGGGTGTTAGGGATTCCAAGGTAGGACAGCCAAGATCATTAATGTCCGGGGTAATCTGAAAGCCTAGTAAGTCTAGGGTCATCTTGATTTCCCTGCCTTTTTTGCTGCTCTTAGGATGTAATCAAATTATTTTCCAAAATGTCTTTCTAAATTCATTTTGAGCAACTAGGTTGTATTAAAGACATTTTAAACTAGAAAAAAAAGCAAACCTCTGTTCCTCATGCATTGATTTTCATCTTAAAAATATATTCATAGTTTAGGGTTACATGAGCCTAGTATTGATTAACTGAAGTCACAAAATGCTGAAAGGACAGCTTGGTTGTTGGTCCGCTTGCTTGTGCCTACTTGTCACTGAGCTTGTAGGTGTGACACTGACGGATGGTCAATCTCCCACAGAAGGTTGGTGTGTGGACCCAATGCCATAGAGGTGGAAATCCAGCCCATATGGAAGCTGCTTGTTAAACAGGTAACTAGCTATTTTCTTTCATTTTGAAAAACAATCTGATTTTTACTCCCTGATCTCAGAGGAATCGCTAAAAAATTGCACTCTTCAGTGGGATGCTATCTCTGCTCTTCTTTTAGCTGCTTCTCTTTGTTACTGCTCCCGACATTAGTCTAGAATTTACCCATTGATGGCTTTGAGTTTTATTTAATTTCGATAAATGAACACATTTGATTTTAGGATTTCTAACTGGTCTTTTTCAATAGCTTCTTATTTACTTCTTATTTATTTATCTGTTGCATTTATTTATTGTGTGTATGTGCTTGTGTGTGTGTGTGTGCAAGTACACACACGCATGTGTCAGATGTCAGAAGACAACTCACAGGAGTCTGCTCCGTGCTTCTACCATGTGGGTCTCAAGGGACCAATCTTGGGTCCTTGGGTTTAACAGCAAGTGCCTTCACCTGCTGAGCCACCTTACCAGCCCAATAACCCCTTATTTTAAGCTCAGAGTCACTTCCCAGTGACAGTCAGGCTCCTCTTTGTAACACAGCTCACTCCACTCTGCTTCTTTGTTTTCTTTTCTTTTTTCTTTCTTTTTTTTTGTGTTTTTGTTTTGTTTTGTTTTTTTGGTCTTTTTGAGACAGAGTCTCCTCAGCTGTGAGTTCAGCTGCTCTAGAACTCACTATGTAGACCAGGCTGGCCTTGAACTCACAGAAATTTGCCTGCCTCTGCCTCCTGAGTGCTGGGATTAAAGGTGTATGCTACTACGCCAGGTATTTGCATTTTTTCTTTCTTTTTTTTTGTGTTTTTGTTTTGTTTTGTTTTTTTGGTCTTTTTGAGACAGAGTCTCCTCAGCTGTGAGTTCAGCTGCTCTAGAACTCACTATGTAGACCAGGCTGGCCTTGAACTCACAGAAATTTGCCTGCCTCTGCCTCCCGAGTGCTGGGATTAAAGGTGTATGCCACTACGCCAGGTATTTGCATACTTTTTTAATGTGGTGGTAATGATGTGTGTCTTAACCTGCTCAAGCTAGTAAACAAAATAACATAGCTTGGATGGAAAATCCAAGATCCAGGTCCCTCCCTCCTGTTTCTGGTAGAACTCTACCTGGCCTAAGGATCACCAACCTCTCCCTATGGCCTTCACAATGGAGAGGGATTGCTGATCTCTTCCTTTAAGGGGGCCAAACTTGTGATTTCATGTAAACCTAATTGCCTTCCAGACTCCACCTCCAAATGCCATGACACTGGGGTTTAGAGCTTCAACACGTGAAGTCTTTTGGGAGGGGTCATAAGTTGTACCACAAGACAATGGTATTACCTGTGTGATTTCTGAGAATTTGAAATGTATCATTTTGGTCCTTTAAAAATTGCTTTACTATTTGTCACATCTTGAGTGTGACTTCTGTTAGTAGTTGGCTTTTTCAAAAATATTTTATTTCTATTTTATGTGTATGAGTATAGCGTGCATGTGTGTAAATGCACCAGTGTTGTGCAATGCCCTCAGAGTTCAGAAGAGGGCATCGGATCCCCTGGAACAGGAGTTACATGTGGGGCTGGGAATTGAACCAGGGTCCTCTGCAAGAGCAGTCAATGCCATTAACAGTTGAGCCATCTCTCCAGCCCTATTGGTTTACTTTTTAATGTTATCCTGAGTACTTTGACATTGTTATTATTGCTTTTGTGTAAGTCAACCTTACTTTTTAATGTTATCCTGAGTACTTTGACATTGTTATTATTGCTTTTGTGTAAGTCAACCTTAAATGGGACATTTACCACTTCCATTCTCCCCTCCCCCCTGTGTTTGCTGTCCCTCTTCCATGGTCCCCAGTGGTCACTGGTTCAGAAATAAACCCATGTTGTAGGTGGGGTGCTTGTCCCTTAGTGACTCGTCACCAGGTTCTCACAGACTGTGGAACTTGGCATAGTTCATGAGTGTGTCGTGAACCCTATTCTCTCCTGTTTGACCCTCAGCTGCTGAGCCAGGATGTTTTTCAGCCTCTGCACAGGAGCAGAAACTCTACTACCACCTCTGTTTTTCACCATAGGCCAAATTTCAGTCTCCTGCTTCTTATGGGAGACTTTTTGTCCCTTTTGTCTCTAGAACTAACTATTGCTGTGTAGATCTGGTCCAGAACCCCCTAAGCTGATGGTTTGTCTCTATTGAATGCTGCATATTTTCAGTCTAATTCTTTAAAAAAATATTATATGCACTTGTGAATGCATGATGAGTGTGCGTGTGTGTGTGTGTGTTTGGGGGGGAGTGAGTGTACCAAGGCTTGTATGTGTGGGGAGGTCAAAAACAACTTTTCTAGTCTATTTTTTCTTTATACCTTTATGTGGGTTCTGGGATTGAACTCAGATCACCATGCTTGTACTGTCAAGCACCTTTATCCACCAAGCCATCTTGCCAGCCTCTGCATGTTTCAAACCTCTTTTTAACCCATGAAAATAGTCATTTCGTTTTGGAATATGACCTTAACTTTCTAATATAAAATTTTATCCATCATTGTTCTGCATCTGGAGCAAAAACCAGGCCACCATTATTTTAACATTACTTTTTAAGATCAGTTTTAGGTTCTCAGCAAAAAGGGAAAAGGTATAGAGATTTTCAGTATGCCTTTTCCCACCCACATATGCATAGTCTCCCAATCATCAAAATGCAGGATGCTTTGTAAACATTTTATCGAAGTACTTTTTCAAGTTGCTTAATATTCCCCTAATATCAATTTGATCTACTTTAAATATTTTATTTATTATTTTTATGTTATGTGTATGAGTGTGTTGCCTGCACGTAAGTAGGTGCACCCTGTACCCACGAAGGTCAGAAGAGGGCAGCAGATTTGCCTGGAACTGGAGTTCCCAAAGGTTGTTAACCAGCATGTGGGTGTGGAAAATAAAACCTGGGTTCGCTGCAAGAGCAGCCAATACTCTTAACCACTGAGCCTCTCTCTAGCCCTTGATCTATTTTAAAGGAGTGCTGTAATTTCCAGCACATATCAACAGGCCATTAGTAGAAAAAGAGCAAGCAAACAAATAAACAAAAGGAGTAAAATTGCTTCACATGTATTTTAAAATTTGTTTTTTAAATGTGTATGAGTGTTTTGCATGCGTGTAAGTGCATTTGTGTGTGCAATGACCACGAAGATCAGAAGAGGGTGTTGGATCCTCTGGAACTGGAGTTATAGGTGTTAGAAATCATGTGGGTGCTAGAAACTGAACCTGGGTCCTCTGCAAGAGCAGCCAGTGCTCTGAATAGCTGAGCCATCTCTCCAGCTCCTTCATATTTAGTGTAAAATAATATTGAATAAGGGGTTAAATTAATTATGATGATACTGTTTCTTCCATAAGAAATATTTAACCAATTTTCCACTGGATTTCTATAAACTCAAAATTATGTTATCATTAGTATACAATCTATAATTAGAGCATTTTATGAGGAGTGAATTCAAGAGCTATAATTTGTAAGTAAAGCAGATGAGCTGGAAATAATAAGAAACATCAGGAAACAAAAGCTTTTTAAATTTATAAATTATATCCAAGGCTTAAGAAACAAAATATGTGTAGCTCATTAAGTTATTAACTAAATATCAATTCATTTTCAGGAATAAAGTGGAATTTTTTAATATATGAGAGAATTATAGAAACTAGCGTTCAGAGACAGTTTTAGTTACTGATTTTAGTCAGTTTTTCACCTAATTTATGAACATTTCCTTAAGAAAAAAAATCCTCTCTCTGTTCTAATGGGCTCTTAAGTGTTTTTTGTCTCTGTGTATCCTGGGACCTTCCTTTAGTTCCTTGGCTTTGTTCTCTTTGTTACATGTATGTATGTATGTGTGTATGTGTGTATTTTTGTGGTACTGAGAATTGAACCCAGAGCCTTGGGTATGCTAGATAAGTGCTCTACAACTGAGCTCAATCATAGCCCTCTACTATAATTATTAATATGAAGCAATAAGATCAAAATGGGAAATAAAAAATGCTGACAGTGTTATCAAGAGACAAAACATGCATACATGGTTGACCAGCATTGCAGATGGTGATGCCCCCCTGTCCATGTTACTGGCAGCCTTGGGAAACACAGTGCTGTTCAGGACCCTTCCTTGTTCTAGGGAAGGAACATGACAATTCTCAGAAAAAGAACATGTCGTTTTAAAATTACCTGGATAAAAGAAGAGTTTTCATTTTCACTGCGCATGTGATGACATGAACGATTAATCTCTTGAGACAGTTCAAAGTTCATTTTAAACTCAGCCCGAATCATGTTTTTCCCCCAGTACTGGGAAATGTTAAATCGTTGAATTTTGTTACTGGTGAAATATTTTTTTGAAATTCAAAATAAGAATTGCAAATTTGTGAGCACAGCTCTGAGTGCTTAAAATAATTTTGCTTCTGCTGTTCACATCTATGTGCTTGACATTGCCTTTGCCTAAATTAATTGAGTTCTAAGTAAATTCTTAATAGAGGTTATTACAGGTTTCTAAAAATGGGAAAGACATTCTATAAAGAGATGACATCATCCTGATTGCTACCAAGGTGCACTCAAGTGACTCCTGTGCGTTTTTGTATCCACAGGTTTTAAATCCATTCTATGTGTTCCAAGCCTTCACCCTAACTCTGTGGCTGTCTCAGGGTTACATAGAATACTCTGTGGCCATCATCATTTTGACCGTTATCTCCATTGTCCTAAGCATATATGATTTACGACAGGTAAGAACTGAAATCTTACTTGGATTCTATTTAGCTTCTGGCTAAAGAAGCAAAGCCTACAGAATTTCCGCTTGGACCAAGGAGTTGTTCTGTCAAACCTGTTACAACAAAACAATGGCCAGGGTTTACCAAATGTGGGCACATCAGGAATACCCAGCAGACTTAAACATCTACAAACTTCATCAACTGGAGAAGTCACTGCAATGTGCTTAGGAAGACTCTGAGGTTGTGTGTGAGTGCGATGGAGGAATGCTGCCAAGGGCTGATGACAGCCTTACTCCAAAGGCTGGGGAGGACAAACAACAGTACATATTAACCCAAGTGCAAGACATGTTTCTCCCAATTTTTATATGTATTTTTTTCTACACCATTTCCCATTTTAATGTTTGTTAAAGTTTTACTCGTAAGACTCCTTTGTAACATCTCTTCCTTTAACTGTAATTCAGGTACACTTTTTCTTATTGTTGCTGATTTTGTTGCACTCAGGGCCTTATGCATGCTGTGCAGCCTAGGTAAATGCTTCTACTATTGAATTTCACCTCCAGCCCCAGGTATACCTCTTTAAGAAAACTCAGAAGGAACATTGGAGTGCTGACTCATGCCTCTAATTTCTGTTTTGGGTGGAAGAGGCAGGAGAACTGCTATGATTCTGAGGTTAGCCTAAGCTACATGATTAGCTCCAGGCCAACCTGGGCTATAGAATGACACCTTGCCTCCAAACCGAGTAACAGAAAAAGAAAAGAAAGAAAGAAAGAAAGAAAGAAAGAAAGAAAGAAAGAAAGAAAGAAAAAGAAAGAGAGAAGAGAAAACCTCACAAGAAATACAGAAATTCTTATGTGTGATTTAGGGTAAGATTCATAGAAAAATTAGCATTTAAAAATATTTTTATTAATTCTTTGAATATCTCATACAATGTATTTTGATTATATCCACCTCTCTCAGATACACTCCACCTCCCCACCCCCCAACTTTTAGTCCTTTCTTTTTTTTTTTTTGAGCCCATCAAGTTCAATTTGTATTGTCCAAATACTTTTTTTCTTGTTAATCTGTTTTTCTAAAAAAAAGTTTTTACTGAATTTTTGTGATTTTTATATAGCATAGTTTGAGGTATTTAGATCCCCTCCTCTATTGCAACTCCCCCCACTGCCCCCACCCAATTTCATGCACTCATATATATATATATATATATTTATATAACATATGGTCTATAGATTCTGATTTGTGTCCTCAAATGCCCTTCAGTGTAGGTCCATCCACTGGGCCACCAAGGGTCCCATCCCTGTAAGACACTGTCTCCCAGCAGCCATCACTTTCCAGAAGTTCCTTAAATTGGGTTGGGATTTCTTATCCACTTCCCCATGTCTATGCTGTAATTTTGTCTGGTTTGAGTTTACGCAGGACTTGTACATTCTGTCACCACTGCTGTAAGTAGTTAATATGATTAACTGACCAGCTGTCTGGAAGACTCTGTTTCCTTGTGGTCATCCATACATTCTGGCTTTTACAATCTTTTTACTTCCTCTTACGCAATGATCCCTGAGCCTTGGGAGAAAGAAGTTTGAAATAGGTGTCCTATTCAGGGATAAGCACTCTGTGACTTCTTGTTCTCTGTACATTGACCAGTTGTGGGGTTTTGTATTAATCATCATTTGCAGCATAAGGAAAACTTCTCTGGTGAGAGTTGAGAGATGCCTTCATCCTATGTATAGAGGTTGCATTGAAGATGTGTCACTTAGGGTCAAGTGTCTCACAAGCACTTATTAACTGCATTTGAACGGGAACTCTGTAATAGTTTTCATCTGTTTCAAAAAGAAGTTTCTTTGATGAGGGGGTGAAAGTACAGTTGTTAGTAAACAGGAGGATGTATATTTAGAATAAAGTAAGAAATTATATTGGTATAGGAATATGGCAAAAGTGGGTTTTTCTCTAGGATCTTTGACCCTTCCAGCCATGTATATTTGGCTATGTTTACAGTATCACACAGGAGTTCCTTTTCATTGAGCAATTTCTTACCACTAAGTCCCATTAGACAGTTGATTACCCTCAAGATAAAAGTGCCACCTCTGCACCAATAGCAATACTTTGCTGGGCCAGTTATTCTTGATTATTAAGTTTACAGCTGGGAAGGACCATTGATTGGTTTTCTCCCTTAGTAGGGTGTGTAGTATCCTCTAATACCATGAGAGCTAGTCTTTAGGGAGGAAGATTCCAGGTCAGTTCCAGCTCAGTCACTCCAGGTCCTGTGTCTGAAGTGTCACCTCTTTTCATCAATAGGGTTCTTATCTGCAATTTCTGGGAGGTAATCAAGGGCTGTCCAGTAACCTGTGTTATTTTGGGAGTCTCCTGGACTACCCTGAGTAACAACTCAAAGGGAGGTTTCTTCTACCTGGTGCTGTGTTTTTTGTTACATAGCCTTCAAAAAGTTAGTTTTGATTCTTGACCTCATAGGACAATGTTCCATCAAGAGAATTATCTGAGATTTCTGGGCTTTGACCTATGAAATCACAAGGTGCGGAGTAATAACAAGAATCCAGATTGTTACAGTTTCATAACAGATATTTGTTATACACTCTAGAGGCCTGGTAACTGTTGTTATAAAGGAAAGGAATGTACTGATGAATAGAAACACCAAGATCCCGAACACATGTTCCTATTAATATCATCAGCGAAACCTGCTTTTACTCTTTTCATTCTATCAGATGCATATAAAATACAAGTTTATAAGTAGATGTATGTATTTATTCACTTTTAAGTTAAAATAGGGTCTTAGTCCACATGTTGACATGGGGCCTTTTATTTACACGTGACTTCATATCTGTAATGCCAGTTGCTAAGTAAACAAACGTTTTGACTCATATTTAAAAGTAGTGGTACGATAGCCAGTGGCACATCATGTACTATTCAAGAATGCTGTTATTTATGGAAAGTAAATTATTTTCCTCCAATTTTTGTCACCAAAAATAATGTTGAAGTAAACATAGCTATAACACATGCATATGCTTACAAATTAGTGTTTGCGTTTCACTTTTTTTTAGCATAGCAGCCAAAAGCTAAGCTGCTAGATGAAAGGATAGGTATAATTTGAATTTTAGTAGATAGTGCTATGTAATTTTCTCCAAACAATAATTTCTTCTATTGGAAATGCACAACAAGGGTATCCAATTTTCCAGATGCTCCCAGTATTGGGTATTGTATGCTGAAAAAAAAAATAGAATTTTTAAAATCTAATTAGAGTTTAGTGATTTATTTTAAGATTTATTTTTATTTATGTGAATGTGTGTGTCTGTATGCATGTATGTATATATGCTACATGTGTGCCTGGTGCCCATGGAGGCCAAAAGAGAGTGTTGGATCTCCTAGAATTGGAGTTACAGACAGTTGTGTAAAGCCATGTGGGTGCTGGGAACCAAACTTGGCCCTCTGCAAGAACACCAGCTCTTAACCACTGTCCTACTTTGTTTCTCCATTGCTGTGACAAAACACTGACCACTACCAACTTGGGGAAGAAAGGGTTTATTTATCTTACATTTCCTGGGTCATAGTTCATCAGGGATCCCAAGGGAGGAACTCAGGGCAGGAAACTGGAGGCAGGAACTTGAGCACAGGCCATGGGGGATCGCTACTTAGTAACTTGCTCCCCTGGCCCCTGCTCAGCCTGCTTTCTTATGCAACACAGGCCTACCTGCCCAGGGGTGGCACCACCCACAGTGGGCTGGGCCCTCCCACATCACACAACAATCAAGAAGATGCCCCACAGATATGGCCATAGGCCAGTTCAATGGAGGCAATTCCCCAATTTACAACCCAGGTGTGTCAAGTGAAAAGAAGAAAGGGAATTAGCAGACAAACACTAATCTCATTAGCAGCTGGTATTTGTTTTCAAAGCTTAACCGACCTAACGTGTAAGACGTCTTGTAAGGCGACAGAAAACGAGCCTGTTTCCTGAAACAGTATCTTAGTAGTTTCAGTCACGAGTCCTCAACAGTCACCGATGTTTTTTACTTTACAGTTTGCAATAGGCCCCTGCACCCATAGTAGTTATATTTGTGTTGGGTACACCTGTAGGATGAGACACATGTAACTGTACATCCTCCCTGAGCAGGAAGGGGATTCAGGTTAATCAAGGAGGTGAGAGGTGAAGTGACTTGTTCACATCTACCCAAGTAACGCAGATCACAAATTTTAGCCCTAGCTTTCCTGATTGCTCATCAAATACTCCATACGATTTCACTGACTTCACTTGTAAAATGTGATTTGTGGACTTTGTGGTAACAGTAAGAATTGGGGGAAGGAGGCTGGCAGGAATGAAGGAAGGAACATCCAAATCATCAGACTAAGGTAATCATTTATCTGAATTAAAGACTAACCAAACAAGGGTTTTGAATTTTGTACTAAGCGAGGTACTTACAGAGACTGCTTACTTTACCCAGGCCAAGAAACACTTGGGTTCTAGTCCCTCACTAAGAAGTGGGGCCAGTGCAAGTCAGGTCTGAGTGCAAAGACAGGCATCTGCTATGTTTACACTGAACTGCATTTGCATGATCCCCTGCTGGGCTCTTCCAGTGCAGCTGCTGGAACAGAGCACTGAGAGTACCTGCTCCCAGCTCCAGGCTCTGCCTTGAGTCATGATGGAGCCGGCTCTAGGGCTATCTGAATTAATGCTCTCCTTACTAGTCTCTGGAGACTATCCAATACAGCAAACACTGGGATACCCAGCAGCAGTTGTGGAATAATAACAGTATGCAAATTAGCTGTGGAAACTGATCCTGGTCCCACTGGCGAGGGACTGGAGAAATCAGAGAGGGCCTGATGAAAATCAGGCAACAGGCTTTTCAATCACGGCAAGCATTGCAGCACTCTCCCTTCCCCTAGCAGGCTGGTTGTCATAGAAACCTGTGCTTGTAGTTTCTGAGTACATTAGCTCAAAGAGAATGCTTACATTATCCTACCTCTGTGTTTTTGGGAGAAGTAGAATGGTTCAGGTCTAGGAAATACATATT